CTTGGCCCATCGATCCAGCCTGTCCAGGTCCCTCTGCAGAGCCTTCCTACCCTTGATCCAAGCAGATCAACACTCCCACCCAACTTGGTGTCATCTGTACCAAATCTTGACCCACCAAAAGATGATTCCTTGGAAAGACAGCATCACTCCTGCCCCACTACATCTGTGTTGTGCCTGCCACCCCAAGTATTAGCTCCGATGCCACCTGGGAAATTCCTGTTGGGATGACTTGGCCTGGTTTCCCTCACAGCCGATGCAACCAGAGCCAACGAGCCCTCCCAGCAGTGCCACATATGCTGGGACGTGCTGTCCTGCTCGCTGTGTTTGTTTTAGGGGATTAGGAACATGCCTAAACCCAAGCACATGTTGAAAACGATGTTTCACACGCAAAGCAGTCTGGTTTGGAGGGAAACAGCAACGTTTCTGTGATTAAATGAAAATAATTGGGGTTAAATGGGGAGGAAAATGAAATTTCCTTGCAATTACTTGGATTTATTATAAGAAAGAATGACATACCTTGTCAGTTTTATCTGCTCTCCACAGTTTTCCCTTTATGATTTTTCTCCTACTTTTAGAAATGAATTTGGGCTCCTTTGCCTCATTAATGAGAGATTACCTAGCTGGGCGAGAAGTTTTGTGTATTAGAAATGGGCTTTACTGATACAGCTCTGAAACACTGATGTGCTCTTCTGTTCCAAAAACCCCTTCTACTGGAACCCAAACAGAATAACATGACTATTTCCCTAAATTATTGTTCAAACATATAGAAGTCGTTCTCAATGGTTTTGGTTTTAAGAAGCAAAGAAAGCTGCTAACATTGTCTGCTCTCCATAAATCCTCCTTTACTATATGATTCTTCCTGAGCTACCCAGGTAGCTACCCAGGTTAAATCAGGATGGTGCCTGGGATTTAAGAGAAAATAATAGTTTATTTTATGCACTTTGCTCTATAAGCATCCACTTTCAAAAAACCCAGAAAATCATATTGTAAAGTCTAAGGACAGAAGGTGCTTTCTGGGTACAGATCAGCTTCCGAAGTATCCACTTTAGCTCTGGTGAGACACACAAACCTTGCAAAAGTTTAACCAGTGACTGAAATAGCAGAACAGAGACCTGTGGTGGTGGTGAAAAGAGGAAAATCCCAAGATTTCCTTTCTTCTGTTTCCCTCTGTCATTCTCCTCTCTCTTCTCCAACCTGAAGTTCTGGAAAATATAGTTGCTTGTCATATGAAGCTACTCTAGTTTTTGGATTTTCCTTGTTGCCTCTTACTATACATTTCCTATTAGACACTTTTTTGGAGATGGGGAGTAACTGCACACTGCATCCCAGAAGTGGGCATACCTCGTACTTATGGCAATGTAATCATGGTCTCTAGCCCTTTCCTAACAATTTCTACCACTTCACCTATTTTTTTTTTTTTGATTGCAGCTAAGTGTTGAACCAATGTTTTCATAGAATGATACGGTGCAACCTCTCTATCTTCATGCTACTAGATTGAGCCGATTGATTGACTAATTGATGACTGACTGTATATAATGATAATAGCTGGCTGATGCCAGCTCAGAGCATCTCATTTCACATGAAAAGATAGGACCATTTTTCTTTTCCCCCATGAATATGTTTTTACATTACCTACATTGCATTTCGTTTGTTTTTGTTGTCAGACGCTCACTCAGCATCACTCAGCTAAGTCGACTCTTTGTTACTGTTCATACCCATTTGCTCTCTGTCCCTGCAATTTGTTACTATTCATTTTGCTCCTTCACTTCGTCTTGTCATCCTCTGGATCCATCAGGAAAAACTGATTTCGGCCATGAGAGCATCCCTAAATTCCTCCACGGTGAACACAGATGCTAAAAAGCCCCTCCTTGCCTCCAGTTCTGACTTCATCTGCCCTGGGAACCCCTAGCACTGGCCCTGCAGGCGTTCTGGCAGCCTTCAAGCTCCTGATGTGTTTGCAAAAGCAATGTTATTAATTTGTAAAGCATCTTTGAACTTCTCATGGGGCGCTGCCACATTTGGTGTTGTTTCTAACCAATTGCTTTCCTCATTTGAACACTTCTGCTTTCTTTTTTTTTTTTTTAACTTTTTTTTCCCCAGGATGCTTTTTGGGTTTCTATACCATCTCTTGCCAACCCATCTAGCTATGTCAACCTCCTCTGCACTTCTGCACCCCAGTGGCTCCCGCATAGCTCTTCAAGAGAAACATACTCAATCACGCCTTTCACATTAATTTGGAAAATGGTATGAAATTTTGCCCTTTTTGTGGGTTTCCAGATTAGCTGGTCCCTGAAATAGCTACAGAGTGGGTCTAAAAATTAGTGTCTCTGTCAGGACCTATGTGATGTATACCAGCCTGGATGGATGTAACCCAAATTCCTCTTCACACATGTTTTCTGCCTGTACAGCCTCCCTGGTCGCTCTCTGGATACTGTCACCAGCAGGGACAGGCAATTAACGGTGACACTTTAATAGCATTTTTATTTGGGCTTGGCATCCCCTGTTACTTGTTGAGAGGGTTAACTTGTGATCTGATCTGACTGCTAGTCCTTATCTCTGGAAATGATCCAAAACCAAGCAGGAATGAAAGGAAAAAAACTCACAAGGAAACAACCTTTTTTCGTTTTGTACCCAGAGGGGACATTTTGGGTTGCATTTGGATTTTGCATTTGGGGGTTTTGGTTTTGTTTTCTTTGCAAAATAACAAAATTCTCACAAAACCGACAAGGAGAACAAAATGGTTTACTTCTTTTTTTTAAGCTAGAGAAAGGGGGAAATAGGAAGAAAATTCCAATCTTTTCATCAAGATACAAAAATATCAGCCAAAAAAGAAAGTTTTTCAACACTGCGTTTGGAAAATTTGTAAGAATAGCAAAGATGTAGCTATATTAACTATACTTTCTCAGTTTTATACAAACATTTATAAAACATGAATGAATAACAGAGGGAATATTTTTATTAACAAAAAATTAAAACACAAGCTTTTAATACCTATACCAGGAAAAACAGTTCATTTATTTAAACAGCAGTTTAGAAATGAGAAACAAACCCCCCCAAATTAGTTACTTTCCTATGGATTTAGGTTTTGAAGTTAAAATCTCTTGATGGCTTCTAGGGAAGCCTTAGGTCTGTAGTAATTCTCAGGAAACAGCATTGCTGACTACAGCACAAAACAACTAAAATTGTGCTGATTCGGCAGGCAAAGCCTTTGAAACCAGTGGAGCTTGTGGAGGAGTCAGAATCTTAAGAAATGCCAATATTTTTTCAAGAGGGGGGAGGAAAAAAAAAAAAGAGCTCTATTTCCAAAAGGAGCAAAACTGGAAGGTAATTAAACTCAGCAGCATCCTAGAAGCCAACACAAGGCTTAACTTCTGAGTTCAGCTTGGACTGAAGCTCATGGTTGAAAGCTGATATGGGCTTTTCCTAGCACAGGGACAGTCAAAGCGTGGTCCAACAGGGCTGTAGCCTGGATATACTCTAATTTTGAGTGCTGAGACACAGCATGGAGACCATGCAGTGATCTGGTAAAGTGTAGAGAGTTAGGAGCAGAGCGGTGGTTTGCACACTGTTATTTCTGAGGGCCTCACCTCTATGTTAGAGATCATCTGGATCGGTCCACCTTGTACAAATTGGGTTTAGCCCTGGCAAATTGTCAGTGTTGCCTGGGGCTGGGCAAGGGCCGGCTGCCCCCGTCAAAAAGCATGATGCATATCTGCACTTGGGTCTCATGCTTGGAGTAAGAAAAGCTATTTTGAGAAGGGAAGAAAAACACAAAAACTCTTCTACTTTTCTCTCCTTATGGTGCCCTTGTTATGAAGGAAGGTTGGTTGAGTACCAAGACCCAAGACGTGCTCTGGTACATTAATACAGCTGAAAATGTTATCAGCCATGGATACTGCCTTAACCTATGCTGCTTGAGCAGAAGTCAGTTTGTAATGTGTAATAAAAGACATGATGGACTTTTTTTTTAATGAGATAACCAAGAAATGGGATTTACTTCATATTTTAAGAAATTAGACTATATCAAATGTGTAATAAAAATATTTTCTATAGGATTTTAAAATATATACATATATAAACTACCTTAATTTTTAATGCCCTGTTGATATTGATGTGGTCTCTACAGTATCTAAGTGTAATTAAGTGAGGCTGCCCAGCAACCTCCATTATACCTCAAACAGTGATAACAAAACTTGAAGCCTTGTCCACACTGTAAATTAAACCTGCGTGAAAACGGGATCTGAAATTGTCTTCCAGGCCTGATCCAGCACCTGTTAATAGTCACGCTAAGTCCAATCCTGACTGCAGGAGCTGGATTAGGTCCTAGACACAGTCCCAAAATGACGTGGTTTCCAACCCTGTTGGCTGGGCAACGCTGAAGGCACCTGAGGGAGTTACTGTGACCCTTGAGGCACTTCCTGGTAAAATAAAAAATATTAGATATTTTATTTAGAATATTTAGGGATATTTAGAAACAGTCTTAAGACAATCTGGGAACATCTATACTTCACTTTGAAGAGGGGCCCAAACTGACTATGTGTCCCGGACATAGCCTTTGCTCAGACACTGGTTGTAGACTTTAGTAAAGCTTAAGGGAGGATGAGGGCTTGGGGCGGGTGATGGAGCAAAGAGCATTCATGCCTGCATCCTTCCTACAGCATCCATCTCCACATATCCCCCCCCAGCCTTGCTTGCCCAGCCCATGTGGAGGAGGTAAGTTGGCACCAGATCCTTCCACGAAGAGCTCCTGTGTCAAGTGCCTGCAATGGCCCATGGGGCTGAACTGGCACTTTCATCAAAGGCAACCTAAAATCGGTGATGAGGGTGAGGCGGCATAAGGGCTGAGAAGCACAGATTACAGTCTGGCCCTATGTCCACCGAGGACAGCGAGGACATGGCTTTGGGCTGCGCCTCCAACACCCAGCCAAAGACGGTTTGCATTCCTGTTTAATCTAGCACTGTCTAAAGCAAGTTCAGATTCATTTTCCATGCAAGGTTTGAAACACAGTGTAGACAAAGTGTGAGGGCCAGATCCTGATCTAACACAGGCAAAATTCGCCATTCTCATTGGCCTGAGCACTTACCCTTGCATTATACTTTAAGGTAGGTAGCATGAGAGTTCTCCTGCTTCAAAGAGTTAATATAGGGGATTTGACCACCTGCAGAGGAAAGTTTCTCACTGAGCTTTCGGTTCATCTGCTCCATGTGCCGGGTGTTCTTCCTGGCTTGCCGGAGAGACCTCTTGACTTTCTTCACCCGATCTCGCAGCTGTTTGTTGCGCTTCTCCAGTGTCGCCACCTTCTGCTGCAGCTTCTTCACTCTGTCCTCCTCCTCAAATAGGGCTTTCTGGACTGAGGAGCACATGAGCTGAGGGGACAGCAGAAACAAAATAGGAACAGGTGAACTTTACACAAAAACTCATTAAAGCAAGGGTTAATTCAGGTGTTCCTCAAAACACCTCACAGCTCTTCAAAAGTAGAATGCTTTTTTTGGAAGTTCTGTTCTTTTTTTGTACCTTTTTTAGTAAAATCCTCTCTTTCACTTCTGTATTCAGATAAGACCCCAAATTGTATATCTTAATGATACTAGTGATTCACAATTACTTTTATGAACTGTTTTGACAGACCTGTCCAGCCCGCTGAGGCTACATTGAATTTATGGAGGCAGGCTGCCCTATTTCTGATACGAAACTGGAGTTCAGGCCAAGGGGTGTCACTATTCATAGAATCATAGGATGTCTCAAGTTGGAAGGGACCCATAAGGATCATCAAGTCCAACTCCCTGCTCCTCGCAGAACTACCTAAAACTAAACCATATGACTAAAAGCATCATCCAGACACTCCTTGAACTCTGACAGGCGTGGTGCCATGACCACTTCCCTGGGGAGCCTGTTCCAGTGACCAACCACTCTCTCAGTGAAGAACCTTTTCCTAATGTCCAACCTGAACTTCCCCTGACACAGCTTCATTCCATTTCCTCCTCACAGCTCTTCAAAAGTAGAATGCTTTTTTTGGAAGTTCTGTTCTTTTTTTGTACCTTTTTTAGTAAAATCCTCTCTTTCACTTCTGTATTCAGATAAGACCCCAAATTGTATATCTTAATGATACTAGTGATTCACAATTACTTTTATGAACTGTTTTGACAGACCTGTCCAGCCCGCTGAGGCTACATTGAATTTATGGAGGCAGGCTGCCCTATTTCTGATACGAAACTGGAGTTCAGGCCAAGGGGTGTCACTATTTCATAGAATCTAGGATGTCTCAAGTTGGAAGGGACCCATAAGGATCATCAAGTCCAACTCCCTGCTCCTCGCAGAACTACCTAAAACTAAACCATATGACTAAGAGCATCATCCAGACGCTCCTTGAACTCGGACAGTCTTGGTGCTGTGACTGCTTCCCTGGGGAGCCTGTTCCAGTGACCAACCACTCTCTCAGTGAAGAACCTTTTCCTAATGTCCAACCTGAACTTCCCCTGACACAGTTTCATTCCATTTCCTCGTGTCCTATCGCTGGTCATCAGAGAGAGGAGATCAGCACCTCCCCCTCTGCTGCCCCCCTTGAGGAAGTTGTAGACTGTGATGAGGTCACCCTCAGCCTTCTCTTCTCCAAGCTGAACAAGCCAAGTGACCTCAGCTGCTCCTCGTAAGTCTTCTGACAGGCGTGGTGCCATGACCACTTCCCTGGGGAGCCTGTTCCAGTGACCAACCACTCTCTCAGTGAAGAACCTTTTCCTAATGTCCAACCTGAACTTCCCCTGACACAGCTTCATTCCATTTCCTCATGTCCTATTGTTTCCTATTGGAAAACTCTAGATTTGATTCAGCTTAGCAGCCCTTCAGAAACTCCAGATTTTGATGTGAGCTTGCCCTTTGCTTTTTATGTTAACATGTGAGCAGTGTTCCCCAGGGCTCAGTTTTGGGGCCGGTCTTGTTCAATATCTTTATCAGTGATCTGGAT